GAGAGAAAGAAAATAAAACCCTCTTACTAAGGCACTATTATATTACTAGTCCTTTTATTATATCCTTATCTCTTTTATATAAGCCTATAGATATTACTATAGATATAGTACGCCTTATATATACTAGCCTACTCTTAGTACTTTACTTTATTCTTAGATTAGAAATAAGAAAATAATAACTACTTATAGTTACCTTAGTTCTTACCTAAGGGTTGCCCTTTATTTGTCTATATACTATTCTTTTAACTCTTAAGATAAAAAATTCTAATCTTATAAGCCTCTTTCTTTCTTTATATTATAAATTACTTTTATAACTACTTTAAGTACTAGTTTTATACGTGTATTAGATATAGCCTTTATTTACTAGCTAAGACGTTATATAGGCTTGTCTTAATATAGGCCTAAGGCTATCTTAATTATTATCCTAATTATTGTTTTATACTAAATCTAGTTTAGTTCTTGTCGCTTATTTAGTTACTTACTAGTAAAAGGTCTTTATTATATTCTATATAAACATCTTACTTCTTTACCTTTCTCTTTACTAATTTACTTATAACCTTTTCTTTTTCTTTATCTACTCTTAAACTCTTCTTTTTAAAACTAAAATCCTAAAGTAACTTTAATATCTCTTAATCGTCTTTTCCTTTAAGATACCTTACGTTACCCTTACTATAACCTTATAAAAGTAAGGACGCGACTACTTTTCTCTACTTTACTAGTCTACTAGTAAGCGTATCTATACTAGTAAGCCTCCTTAGGCTAGTTCTTTTATAGTAAAGATATATAATAATTCGGCTAATAATTAGTCTATCTTTATATAATCTAACGCTTATATCTTAAGTAGATTTAACGATAATAATAATGTTAATAATAATAACCTTTTTACTCTTTCTTAAAGTAGGTCTAAGATGTTTTTACTTAGCCTCTTTATAATGTTTAGTACTTATAGATCTACTTCTAGAGAGCTAGAAGAAGGTTTTGCCTAGATTAGTCTAGATACTCTATTAAAGGTTTATATATTCCCTATTATTAGTACCCCTTATTACTTACTTATAGACTAACGCTCTTACCTTATATAGCTAAAGCCTACTAAGCGGCCCGCGTCTATAGCTACCTTACGTCCTTCTTTACCTCTTACCTTTACTAAGTAAGAAAAGAAAAAAGAAAGGACGCTAGCTAAGCTAGGATTAAGAGTAGTACTAGAGAAGGTAGTAGCCTAGCTAAAGTTAAAGCTAAAGCTAAAGCTAAAGACAACGACAATAATAATAAAGATAGTAGTATAGATAATAACAATAGTAATAACTAGGATAGAGATAAAGATAAAGTAGAGAGAGAAGAAGAAGAAAGGCCTAGCTAAGGGCATGTATACTTACTAAACTAAGGCTTTACTACTTCTCTAAGATACCTCTTTATTAATTTCCTTTATCTAGTCTATCTACGTAAAGTACGCCGCCTTCTTTAAGTAAGAAGTAGTAGCTATAGTATATAAGGTAAAAGAAGAAAAAGAAAAAGAAGATAAGGGTAAGGATAGAGATAAAGATAAAGAAAGAGATAAAGACAAAGATAATATTAATAATAATAATAACTTAGACTATTTTAATAAGTTAGTAAGAGATGTACTAGTCTAAGCCTAAGAAAGGGGCGCTAAAGAGTCTAAAGGAGAGGATACTAAGAAGGATAAAAGAAGAGAGAGAAGAGAGAGAGTTAGTAAGGCTAGTAAAGAAGAAGAAAGGAAAAGAAGAGAGGATAAGGATAAGGATAAGAAAAGAAAGAGAGAAGGGCTTACTATAACTAACTAAGGAGAAGGTAGTACTATAAAGAGCGTTACTACCTTATTAGTTAGTCGCTAGAGTAGACCTATATTATAAAGTAGTATATATATTATCTTATATTAGTACTGTCCTTTACTAACCTTTACCTAAGGTTAGTAGTACACCTACTACGTATATAGTAGTAAGAGCCTGTTAGTATAAAGTAGTTACCCTTTTAGGGTTACTATCTTTACTATATTAAAATACTGTTTTTAAACCTTACGTACTAATATAAGAAGGCGTTAAAGGATAACGTCTATAATTATTATACTTAGTAGTGTTCTTTTTATAATAAAGTATAATTCCCTTAGCTTCTTTTCTTTTCTAGCCCTTACTAACCCCTTAGCTAGATTCTTCTTAAACACTTCTCTTAAGTAAGAGAAGTAGTAAAGTATACCTACTCTATTATTACTACTTACTCTAGCTTTTCTGTCCCCTTAGCTTAAAAGATTACTTTTACTTACCTTTTATCTTATATAGTAGATAGCTCTTTTGTTTTTCTTTTTACTACTTTTAATAAGTAGTAGAATTTGTATAAAAGTTCTTAGTACCTTATCTATAAGATAGTAGGCCTAGGCTAAACCTACTACTACCTCTTAGATAATACTACTTATAAGATTACTAGTTAGTTAGACTAGCTTAACGCTAGTATAGTAGTAATAATCTAGACCCTTTACTTTATTATAAGGTCTCTTTATTCTTTTTATAAATATAGCTAATAAGTAATAGAATTATATACTTATTAATAATACCGCTACTTATAATCGGCTCTAGTCCTTCTTTAATTAAAAGGGGTTTTTCTTTTTCTTAGTTCTAGTTTTGTCTTAAAGTAATGTCTTCTTACTCTATTTCCTTCTTTTCTTTTATTATTCTTTCTCTTTTTTAGTTATATATAATCTTAAGTATAGCCTAGGTATACTTACTTAAGTAAGTAGTGTTATAGATTCTAGTTAGAATTATATAGCTCTTTTATATTAGTTATAGCCTAAGTATATTCTAGTAGTATAGCTATTTTGTTTAAGTCTTATTTTAGTTAATAAATGTTAGTATTAGTTAAACCTTAGGTTACCTTAGGTATTCCTTATATTCTTCTTATATTTAATTAGTTAGCTAAGGCCTAGACTATAAGGTAGTACTGTCTTAAGATACCTAGCCTTATTAGCTATCTAGCTACCTTCTAGAGACGACCTAGGTTAAATATAATTACCTAATAATCTAATAGGCCTAGTTATTTAATTAGGTACGCCCTTTGTTCTCTAAAATCTAGGTATCTAGTAATAATGTACTTTACTATCTAAGACCTTTACTTATATAAGTAATCTACTAAGTAAGTAAGGACCTTTCTTTAGGTTAAAAAGGCTTAGAGACTAATCTTCTTTATCCTAATAGCTAGTACTAAAGAGTATTCTACTTTTGTTATTAATTTGTATCTTTTTATACGTTCTTCCCTTAGCTCTCTTTACTATATAAGGGTTAACCTAAGGTTATCTTACTAGTAGTGTTTCTACTATATATTCTAATCCTTATAAAGTTTCTTCTTAAAGATACCTTATACTTTAGTAAAAAAGAGCTCTCTTAGTAAGAAAGACGTCTTAGGTTTCTTGTCTTATATTATATTCCGGCCCTTAAGCTTATTCTTTACTTATCTTTCTTTAACTTCTACTAGAGTAGGCCTTAGGTTAGACTAAGGCCTACCCTTACTAGGGTCTATATTCCTTTATATCTAGTCTCTAGTATTCTAAATAACGGCTTTATAACTTATAAGCTATACTCTTACTTATATAGTCTTTTAAAGGAATTTAAGGTAAAGGTAGATTAGAGGTACGTTTGTTTTAGTATATAAGATCTTAATTAAGGTAGCCTTAAACGCTCTAAAGACTACCTTAAGACTACTATTTTAGATCTTTTAGAGTAACTTTACTATCCTTAAGAGACCCTTAGTAAGGTCTATAGTTAGAAGCTAAACTACTAAGGCGTATATAAGCGCTAAAGAGATAACTATATAGTATATTAGATAGGCTTTCTTTATTATTATACCTTATATTAAGGCTATAGTATAGGTTAGGGCTAATATCTACCTTTCTATCTTTCTTTCTAAGTATTTTAGGTAAGCTTCTTATATTAGCTTTAGGTCTAGGATAAGGCTAAGGATCTTAATTAATAGTTCTAGGGCAATCTTTATATTACTTAAGGAAAGGCCTATGTTTAGGTTATATTTTTATCTTTTACTTAAGTAGAGTAGATAGTATTTTGTTAGTTTAAAGACAGCCTTATGTCTATAGGCCTAGTTAGAACACACCTAGTAAATCTTTACTAGCCCTTAGTAATTCCCTTTTATTATCTTACCCTAGACAATAATATTTATATTATTAACAAATCTAATAATACTTCTTTTTTATAAAGTAGTATTATACTATTCTACTAGTTCTAAGTTATAAAACAAAAAGAGGATAAGAGATAGAGAGAAGCCTTATAGAATTCTAGAAGAGACTTTAAAGAAAGGGCTAGTATAGTTATTAATCCTAATTAAACTACTTCTTTCTAAGAAAAAGCCTTTAACTAGTTAGACTATCTACTCTAAGATCCCCTTTATATACAAGATATAAAGGAGCCTTAGGTAAGATAAATTATTAAAGGCCCTATATAGTAGCTATATCTAGGCTAAGAATTAACGCCGCTATTTTTAGGCTACTTTACTAAGCCTTATAGACCTGTTCTATAATTAGCTCTAGTACTATAGTTATGTCTCTCTTTCTTTATACCCTTATTTAGTATACTAGAAGGAGCTAGTAATCCTCTACTAGGTTAGTTAGTCTTATAGCGACTAGCTTCTCTAGAGTCTTTTTAAGGGTGTTAAGAAGAGTAATTAGTTAATATAATTTTACTTAGTAGTAGTCTTTTCTTAGCTTTAAGATTATAATAGTTTAGGCTACCCTAAACCTCTCTAAGAAGTACCTAACTTAGGTATAGTAGTTAAAGAAGTAAGTATAGTGTTAGAGTAAGACCTCTATTAATATTTTAATAATCTTATTTAGGATCTTATCTAGGCCTAAGGCCTTCTTGTTCTTAAGCTTCTTAATTATAACGTAAACTTTATCTACTAAGAACTCTTATAAGTAGAATAGACTGTCTTTATATTGTCTCTTTCTTAGGTTAACTAGCCTGTCCTAAGGGTATTAGTATTCTAAGATGTCTAAAAGATTAGCGTTAAGAACTAAGGTAAAGAAAACGTCTTAGAAAGCTTTAGCCTTTATCTTATAAGTATTAACTAAGGCCCTTTTACTTTAAAAGTAAAGGGTTAGGAACTATAGTAAGGGTCTAGGCAAGTAGCTTTTATTCTTTACTTATTGTTTAAGTTACTATATTCTCTTTTTACGCTAGCTAGCCTTATAGACTAAGGCCTTAATGTAAAGGGTCTAGGCTTTTAGGATTACCTTTTTCTTTTCTCTTACTATTCTATACTACTCTCTTATTGTCTCTTCTAGAATTCTCTTACCTCTTCTCTAGTACTTTCTTAGGTCTACCTGTCTTACCTTCTTTACTTACTTACTATACTCCTTGTTCTAGAAGCTTTTAGACCTGTCGCTTACTCTTTACTATAAGACTACTACTTTAATAGCCTAATTTAAGGAGTCTATAAGTAGTTAGAGCTAGTTATTAATATCCTCTAGAGTATGTAGCTTAAAGATTGCCGGTACTAAGCCTTATAGGATTTTAAAGAGCTTTAGTTTATTAGTTACTTTCTATTGTCTTTATAAGAGTAAGACGTAGCTTTTAGCCTTAAATCTAAGCTTTATAGTAATAAGGAAGTAATTAGACTAGAGGTCGTGTCTTAGCTTTACTTTATAAGAGCTAAGGAGATCTTTAAATTCGATTAGGATTAGGGCTAGGTTAATATAGGATTTATAGTTTCTTCTTTCTTACGTTCGTTCTCTAATAAGTATCGTGATCTTAAGTAAAAAGTCTTATAAAATACTTATTACTTTGTCTAACATTCTCTTTAGGTCTTAGAAGGCTCTACCTTCTTATATAAAGTAATAAAGGTTAAAGTCCTCTACTACTATATACTTATAGCTTTAGTTATCTAGCTCTTTCTAAAGGGCTAAGAGAGTAAAGGGTCTTCTTAAGGTATACTTATTAAGAAGAGAAGGGTTATAGATGTTTATAACTTTAACTAGCGTTAGAGTACTTATAACGTTAACTTTAAGGCTAACTTAGTATAGGTCTAGGTAAAGGGTATTAAAGGTCTAAGTAGTCTAGTTAATCTTTTTGTTTATATACATTACTACTCTTATACCTTCTACTTGTCTATAGATTAGTCTCTACTAGAGACCTAGTAAGGTAGTTATAAAGTTATGTCTATTATACTAGGGTTCTTAAATAGTCAAGATATTGTACTAGGCTAAAGAAGGGTCCTAGAGTAGCGCGATTATAACGTCCTTTTATTTATTAACGTTATATTATAGTATATTAAATAAGTCTTAGTCTAATTCTATAAGAAGTCTTAGCTTATAAGTATTCTATTTATTTAGGATTCTATCTAGCTTAGGATAAAGACAACTAGAGTTACGCTATTAGGTACTATAAAGGTTCTAAAGCTTAGTATTAAGAGAAAAAGAGGGCGAGAGTTAGAGCTATTAGTTTCTCTATTCTTTCTCTTTTTATTTAAGGAACTAGTAAGAGGGCTTGTATCTCTTACTTAAGGGCTAAAGGTTTATATATATTAGCGTATAGCTTTCTCTTAGCCTGTTAGAGTGTTAACTCTTAGTCTTTTTATAAAGCGTTTTAGGTTACTTAAGACAAGAGTAAGGGTTAGGCCTAAGGCTACTTTAGTGTTAATTAGATCTCCTTAACAATACTTACTAGGCCTTATAAAGGCCGCTTGCTCTACCTCTTTTAATTTTTTCTATAGTAGTAGGTAGGCCGCCTAGTCTTAAGCCTAGTGTCCTCTTTTCTTATAGTTAGTACATCTCTATTTTTCTTTGTTTTATAAGTTTTAGTATGTCTTTATCTAGTAAGAGCTTACGTATATTCTATAAGTTTTCTGTTTTAAACATATAGTTAACTAGTAAGGTCTTATCTTCTAGTACTTAAAGTACTAGTTTAAGGACACTCTTAGAGAGTAAAGGGCGTAGTAGTATAGTTTACTATCTACTATTAAGCCTTCCTTAATTACCTTTTCTACGTATTTAAAGTCTAGGATACTTAGGACAAGAGACGTCTACTACTTCTTTTAGGCGTGTGTCTTAACTAGCTAGAACGACTTAACGATTTAGATCTCTAGATTTAATACCTAGATAGCCTAGATCTATTTCTTTTTCTCTAGAGAATCCTCTTTAAGGCCTACTCTCTTAACCTTAATATTATATATAATTATTAGTAGTATAGTCTAGAACACTTCTACTCTACTAAAGGTTAACGTTACCTAGCCCTAATCTCTTTATATTCGCTTTATACTCTCTAAATCCTTTATATAAAGCGTATAGCCTTTGTTTCTATACTTATAAATAGCTTGTACTAAGGCGCCTAAGAAGGCTACATTAATCTTATCTTTTATTATCTTATAATTAATGTTTTTAAATCTCTCTATATCCTTTATAAAGAGCTTAACCCTAATCCTTCTCTTAATCTCTATAACGTCCTTATACCTAAACGTCTAGGTTAAGGGGCTACTAGTTACTAGGTAGGCTTAGGGCGCTCTCTCTTTAGCTATTACTACGTACGTTAGTCTACCTTACGTACTAAGGTTTGTGACTTTAGTTTTAATATTCTTAATTAAAGAGGCTATTTGTTAAGCCTATTCTAGGGCCTTAGTGTTATTATTACTCGTGTATAGAGTTTTTACGACGTATTTAATTTTATTAACTAACTTTTTAATACTTAGTATCGCTAGAGAGTGTCTAGCGCTAGAGGCCTGCCTATTAGCCTACGATATTACTTTATATATTTCTATAGTAATACTAAGTAATTGTCGGCTAGGGTAGATTCTAGGTCCTTCTAGCCTATTTCGACTATCTCTAGTAGGTTTCCCTAAAGGTACTAGTAGGTACGCTATTATACGACAATAGAAGTTAAAGAAGGTACTTAAAGAAGTGTTTTAAGGTCCTTTTAATAAGTGTAGCAGCTGTTGTTTTCTAAAAATGCCGCTCTTTAAGAGGGAGATGTTTTTTAAAGAAATAGATTAATAAAGCGCTTATAGAACCTAGTAAACCTTAAAAAGACATAAATGTCTTTTATAGTTATAAGAATAAGCTATTCTTAGATTATAGAGATATACTTAGGTTTAATACAAACTCCTTATAGGTTAATAACATATTTTAGAAAACCTACTTACTTTATATATTAGTCGTCTACGCCTCTTACTACCCTAAAAACTTAAAAACAAATAATAAAATCAAAATTAGCGCCTTTAGATACCCTCTAGAGTACTAGTAGACTATAGGCGAGCCTATAGTAACAGATAGTAAGTATACTAGACTTAAACAGAGCTAACACTACCTACTTGTAAGTAGGAGCTAGTACTCTTATACCTTAACTAAGAGCTATAGTAAGGAGCTAGAGAGTAGTAGAAGTAATAAGGACGATAAGACAAAGAAAATTATACAAAGAATCAAAGCTTACGTAATATTAGGTAAGGAGGAAGAGGCGTCGCGTCTCTTACGCGACCTTATTACTATAACGACGATAGTAGTAGAGACAAGAGCTATAAATACGACAACTCTCTTATATACCCTTAGGTCCTTTTCTAACGATAACCTAGTAACGATTAGACAATTAAGAACAATATTAAAAGAGGCCTTCTAGAGGCTAGTAGTAATAGTAGCCCCTTAGGCTACTTACGCGTTAGTAGTAAGCTAGTGCCTAACAAGAGTATAAGTTATACTAGAGAGGTAGATTAAGGAGCTAAGGATTAGGGTAGACAGACAGATAAAGGACTTAGTATATTGTAGTACTATTAAAGTAGTAATAGCGGCTAATATAGTAATTAGGGGCGCTAAGGTAGTAGCGACCTACTAGCTACCTAGTAGTAACACTATCCTTACGTTTAAAGAGGCTATACTAAAGAACGTAATCTAAGATTAGGGCTAAGTATAGAGGGCGTTTAGGCCTATAGCCTAGCTCTATAAGAGTAAGTTTATAGTAATCGTAAAGGGCCTACTAGTAGACTAGATTATATAAGTAGAGTTAAGAGTGTTACTAGTAGAGATCTAAGCCTACGCGCTATATGTTATAAAGGTTAAAGTTAAGCTTATTAAGGCCCTTATAGTAAAGTTTATAATAGTAGTACTATACCTTTAGAGTACTAATATAGTAACACGCCTATATAAACAAGGGTTAATCTAGTAAGCCTAGATCTTTAACTACAAGCTATATTTAGCTAACCTACAAATCTAAAGATACTTCTAGTACTACTAGTTTAGCTACATTAGGTAGTTCTATAAGAACTAGGCCTAGTACAGCTATTACGTAAGAGCGGCATATCCTTAAGGTAAAGAAGAGTACCCTTAACTTAATAGTAGAAAGAGATGCGTTAACTATAGTAGACTATACGTAGTATAAGACTATTAGTGTCTTAAGGCCCTTAAGGTAAAGGAGTAAGTATATACTATATATTAACAAAAGCCTAGACAGTTTAAGGTGTCTAAGAGTAGCTTTACTAGCTAGGTACCTAGCGTTACGCTAGTATCCTTATAAGATAGTAACGATAGCTACTAGATTATAGTACCTAAGAGACTATAGACAGGTAATAGTAAGAAGCTTATAGTAAAGACTCTAGTAAAGTAAAGGCGCCTTCTTATTAGGGCACTAGATATAGTAATAGTCTAGAGCTATAACATTATAGAGATGTTAAGCTAAAAAGCTAACTAGGGGTCTAGCGACCCTTTTGTAACGTAAGACTTATAGATCCTAGACTCTTAGTAATAAAATTAATAATAGTATACTAGAATACTATAAGAAAGAACAGCCTTACCTTAATAGCGCTTTATAATAGCCGTAAAGTTAACGTTATAGTAATTTAAGAGCTATAGTATAATACTTAGATAAGGACAGTCTACTACCTAGTATAAGTAAAGTACTAGTAGGTCTATAAGGGCAAAGGTAGAGTAGTTATCTACGTTTATAAGTAGTACTTACTTCTTACTTAAGTAGTAAAGACAGGCGTTAACTAGTATTACGTTACTTTATAAGGTATTACTATCTAGTTAATATACTCGCTAATTCCTAACTCTTTAAGCTAGGCTAGCCCTCTCTAACGGCTTACTAGAAAGGACCTAAAGGGGCTATAGATCGTTACTAGTAATATAAACCTTTATTACTTGCTCTAGGATAGCGCTAGTAGAACTACTCTTAAATTAGAGACCCTTCTTTATCTGGCCTATAGGTAGTAGCTCTTACTACGTATACCTTAAGAGGAGCTAATATAGTAGTAACATAACAAACAAGACTTAACGATTAACTACGCGTAAGTTATAGCGACACTCTAGTGTACTTATTAAGGTAACCTAGGGTATAAGGGATCTAACTACTATACCTAGCTAATTAAGGTTATTACCTAAGTAAGGGATTACTAAGAGAGAGCTATAGAGGTACTAGGATAGAGCTAGACCCTAATAGACTAAGAACTAGTAACGATTAAGGCTAGGAGGCTATGCCTTTCCTTAGAGCCGCTAGACATACCTTATAAGGTTAATAAGACAGTTAACTTACTTACCTCTTAGCTTGTACGTATTATAGACATATCTACCCTAAGAAAGAAGGTTAACTAAGGGCGTACTAAGCCCTAGTAGAACAGTAAGGTCCTTAAGGCCGTCTAGTAAGTACAGGTAGTACGCTATTAGTACGCTACTACCCTAACTAAGCTCTACTAGCGCGACCTCTAGTAGGCTAGTACTTACTAACTCTATATAATCTAAGACGTAAAGACTAGGAGTTAGCGTAGCGTCCTTACTACTACCTTAAAGGACTAACAGAAACTCTAGAGTCTTAAGAGGTAGGCTAGGCTTTATAGCTATATACCTCTAGAGCTAGCCTTACTCTTACCTCTTTAGGGCGCTAATAGAAAGGTACTAGCTATAAGCTACTATAATAAAGTAATAGTATTAGGCTAACAGTTCTTTCTAGAATTAATAGCTAATCTTAGTAACGTTGTTCTAGACCTTTAGGACAAGTAGTACTAACGGTTTACTATTAACGACACTATAATAAAAGTAGATATTACTAACGTTCTCTAAAAGACAGGTACCTAAAAGGCGCTAGGTCTTAACTTACTACCTACCGGCTTCTTTAAGGTATATAGGCGCCCCTTAGCTAAGCTCCTTATATGTTGTATATTACAACTAAATCAGTACTAGTAGCATTTTAAGGATTAACGTTACCTTATTTACAATCAATCAAATTAGAGTTACCTTAACGTTACCTTAACTCTAATTTGATAAGTTAACGTTACCTTAACGGCATATCGTTAATCCGATACTAGAACGTTATGCCGAAAGCCGACAATACGCCGACTATTACAAATACTACTATTACGTGATACTATACACGTATTACGTGATAGATTGCGTGATTTACGTGTTCTATTACAAATGCGCGATATATTACAAATGTTACCTACTGTGTTAGCCGACGTACTACTAACATAGTATAGTGTATTACGTAGCGTATTACGTGGCGTATTACGTATTACGTGGCGTATTACGTGGCGTATTACGTGGCTCTAGTTAGTAGTTGCGATTACGTGATTTTAGTGTTGTATTTGATTATATTGTGTGATTTTAGTCGAGTATTAGGTGATTTTAGTGTCTTCGCTTACAAATTCATGTACTAGAATATTCTATACTATGCCTAATTAAGTCTAGTAGCCTATTACGACTATAAGGCTTATAGAATAGTATAGAATATTCTAGAAAATTTAAATCATGTATATAAGGACTCTAGAAAACACTCTAAGTCGTTAAGTTCGTCGTCAATTCAAGTCAATTCAATTCAATTCAATTCGATTCGGTACTCGTTGGCCTAACAGCCATACTACACCTCTTACGCGCCTCTTTTCACTTGTTACGTGTCACACTCACCTGTTACGCGTCCATCCGGCAATACGGCGTTCTATCATAACCTTGTAATCCAACAATTTCTAAGCTAGTTGCTTAATAACGGCCGTAAAAGTCTCGATGTAGTCAAGGCCATATAGCTGTTTAAAGCCTTTTGCTACAAATCTAGCCTTAAACGTAACGTCGTCTATATTAAGGCTATTCTTAGGGTTCTTAACTTTATAAACCTATCTTGTTTTTAATGGTTTAGTCTCTTTAGGTAAGGGTACTAAGTCTTATGCTTTATTTGACTTAAGCGAATTGATTTCCGTTTCTATAGCTTTAATCTATTGATCCTTATATATTAAGTTAATAGCCTCTCTATAGTTCTTAGGCTCTTTAAATGTATTCGATAATTTATTTTTAGAGTTATTTGACTCTAATTTAGCAAAATTAAGTTTAGGTAACTCTAATTCGTTTGAATTAAGTTTAAGTGACTCTAATTTAATAAAGTCGATTTTAGGTAACTCTAACTTAATTTAAGGTAATAAGTCATTTGAATTATCGTTAATGCAAGCCCCCTTATTTAAAGAGGATAAGAAAGCTATAGAAGCTAGGCTATATAAGGACATGTTACTAGTAGGTGTTCTACTAGCACGGCTTCTTGTTGTAGGGCCTTTATAGAATTCAGCACTTAATTCGTCTATATCTCCTAAATTAGACGTAGTGTCTTCTAAATTCGTACTAGTATTAGAGGTACTATTCGTTAAGTTATCGTATTTTTAGTTCTCTATCAAATTAGAATAGTCCTCTTCTATAACAAAGTCGTCCTTATATTCTAACTCTTCTTTAATAGCTACGTTCTAAGAGTTAATGACTCTGTTTTGACTAGGAACGTAAACTAAGAAGTTGTTAGACGAGTTAAAGCCTATTAAGATCCCTTTATTAGCTTTATCGGCTAATTTACCCTTACGCCTTGACTTAGGGATAAGGACGTAAGTTAAGGATCCTAATATTCGTAAATATAAAATATTTAGCTTTTTCTGTGTAATATATTTATAAGGAGTCGACTTAATTATAGAGTTATAAGTCCGGTTTTTAATGTGTACTATTAATTGTATAAGGTAAGGCTATAGTTTTAACGGTATATGTTTTTCTTTACAAAGACTAATAAGACGTTTAATTACATATCTATTAAGTCTTTTAGATATACTGTTTTAGGCAGGCGTATTAAGGCTTGTAGGTTCGTACATAATGCCCTTTTTCTTACAGAACGCGTCTTATTTAGAGCTAGTAAGCTCTTTTGCAACGAATTAATATATTAAATTATTATTATTATTATTATTATTAGTCTTACTACCTATGCCTAACGCATGCGGAACCTCTATACTATATAAATCACGTAATAAAACCGTACTAGAGCCGGGTAAAAACCTACGTACTACTACCTGTACTTATACTGTCGTAGCGCCGCTAGGGCGCCAGGTCCTTATCGCTACCCTACTAGAACTTAACCTTCTAGCCTAGTAATACTAAACATACTAATAGGACACTAGTAAGGCGCCGGTAAGGCGCCGGCTACTAGCTAGGGCTACTCCCTTTTCTATAACTCCTCTACTAGGTAGCGCTTAGCTAGACAGAACTATAGGAATCGGCTAGTAGACAGTAGCTAACGGATTAGTACACGCGCGCTCTTACCTCTCTTTATTACTACTATAAAGTCGTAGAACATCTATAGCGCCCTTAGGTAGAGTACTTACTATAAGGCCTACTACTATTAATTAAGCTACTAGTAGTTAAGGACTAGGTAAGCTACTGTCTCTAGGGCCTTACTATAAGGGTACTAGAAGGTTACTACCTCTAGTACTCTACGTTTAAAAAAGAAAGCCTAGAGTCTAACTTTACTAGTACAGATCTATATTAAAAGGGAGCTCTTATACTTATAGAGAAGTAAGTACTTCTTAAGGGCATCTACTAAAGGGGTAGGTAGCGCGGCTAGGGCGGCGCCTTATTAGTATACTAGTAAGCTATTGTATTAAGACTATCGTACCTTCTAGTTCTCTTATAAGGTCTCTTCTAGAGAAGAGTCCTTATACTAGTCCTTTACTTATACGGCTCGGCCTACCTTATACTTAAGTAACGTATAGGGTAGTGTTATAGTAGTATTATAGTAGCGTCTCTAGCGTTATTAAAGACAGGTCACTACTCTATTATAGATAGACTATATAAGTTCGCCCTTACCTATACATTTAAGACGTTATTTAAAGTCTACTACTTATTTGTTAAGGTAGAGGTCTAGTAAAGGCGTAGCTACTTTAGACTTAAGGAACTAGACAAGTATCGTCTAGTACGCCCTTATAACGACGTAGAGACACTATAACTACTTTATAGCTAGGTCCTTTACGATCTCCTTAGCTCGTTACCTAAAGGGGTAGTACTAGATCCTTATACTATATACTATAGCGCTCTAGATTACCTTTATATAAATCTTCCTTACGCGTAGTAGGCTATATCTCTACGTAAATATACTTACAGGCTAACTGCCCTTAATTTAAGAGATAGTTAATCTAGTATTAAGTTTATATTAACCTAAATTTATAAGCTTAACTTAGTTTTAATCTAGTTTTAAAAGGTTTTAACTTATTTTAAGCTAGATTTTAATAGTTTTAAGTAGTTTTAACTAGATTTAATTAAGTCTAACTAGATTTAGCTTAGATTTAACTTAGAATTAACTATATCTAACTAAATTTAACCTAGTTTTTAAGTAAAGTACTTTATAAAGTATAGTCTTAGACACTTATAATGTTACGTGATTTTATGTTACGTGACTAGACTACAAGATTTAGCTTTGTTTATATATAAACAAGCGTATTACGAATACCCTTTATAGCCCTCTATAGCCCTTTGTTCTTAACAGCCCTTTATTACCTAGGTACTTCTATAGATCTCGACAGCCCTCTGTTATCCTTAACAGCCCTCTGTTACCCTCGACAGCCCTCTAGCCCTCTATAGCCCTCTGTTACCTCTACGGATCTCGACAGCCCTCTGTTACCCTTAACAGCCCTCTGTTCTCGACAGCCCTCTGTTGCCCTTACGGATCTCGACAGCCCTCTGTTACCCTCGACAGCCCTCTGTTCTCGACAGCCCTCTATTACCCTCGCGGATCTCGACAGCCCTCTGTTGCCCTCGCAGATCTCGACAGCCTTCTGTTACCTTTACGAATACCCTCGACAGCCTTCTGTTGCCTTCACGAATACCCTCGACAGCCCTCTGTTGCCTCCGCGGATCTTGACAGCCCTCTAGCCCTCTGTTACCCTTACGGATCTCGACAGCCCTCTGTTGCCTTTACGAATACCCTCGACAGCCCTCTGTTACCCTCGCGGATCTCTACAGCCCTCTGTTGCCCTCGCGAATACCCTTAACAGCCCTCTGTTGCCCTTACGGATCTCGACAGCTATCTGTTACCCTTACAGATCGTCCCTTTACTCTTACAGATCTCGACAGCCCTCTGTTACCCTTAACAGCCCTCTGTTACCCTTAACAGCCCTCTGTTACCCTTAACAGCCCTCTGTTACCCTTAACAGCCCTCTGTTACCTTTAATAGCTCTCTGTTACCCTTATAGATCGTCCTTCTACCCTTACTTTGTTTACCTTTACTAATTATATTGTTTTATAGACCTCTTTACGACTGCCCTTACGACTGCCCTTATAACTGCCCTTACAACTGCCCTTACGACTACCTTTATAAATACCCTTATAATTAACTGTTTTTATAAATAAATAGATAGATTATTATTAATTAATTAATTAACTCTTTAAATGTGTTTTAACTCTTAAAATCTAGCTTAAGGTAGCTTAAGGTATTTTAACTTAGTTTTAACTTAGTTTTAACCTAGGTTAAGTCTCTAAAACTAGGTTAAATCTCTAAATCGATTTAATAATAATCGTGTGTTATCACGATAAAACTAGAGTTAAAAGGGTTTTAAAACTATTTAAAACTACTTAAAACTAGGTTAAATTTAAGTTAAAACTAAGGTAAAACTAGTTTTAACTTAGTTTTAACCTAATTTTAAGTAGTTTTAAGATATATTTAATGTTATCTTAAGTCTAGGTTAAATTATATAAATAAGGCCGTAAGGTAGTAAGCCTAGTAAGCGTAAACTACTAGGTAATAAACTTTTGTTTAATAGCGTTAAGATAGCCCTTCTATCTAAGTTTCCGGTCTATCTATACCCCTAGAAAGCAGGCCTTTTAGACTAGGGGTATAACCCGGCCGTTAAGGTAGACAGGCGTTATTAGTATAGTATAGGCGTAAGTAAGGTAAAGAAGCTCGCTCTTTTTAGGGGCAAACTCTATTCCCCTTATATGTAACTACTAGCTATATGTCTACTACGCCTCTTTAAGGTACTAGCGTGTCTCTATCGTGTCCTTACCGAATACTAAAAGGTTAAGGTCGTTAGCGAACCCTATCGTAATAAGGCCTATGTGTCTCTATAGTAGTACATACAAGCTAGTAGTATAAAGGAAGAAGAGGATAAGAGAGAGGGGCGAACCCTATAGTACCCTTATAGTAACCTCTCGGGACGGCGCCGCCTCCTCGTCAAAAAAGAGGCTAGCCGTCCGGTTAGTAAGAAAGCTACATATCTACCGTATAGCCCACGCAGGGAACCCCAGGACTTAAACTTTATAGGGTATATCTAAATAGCCCTACTTGCCCTACATATAATAGTAACGAAATACCGTTCCCCTTTAAGGCCAGGAATCTCAAATAGCCCTACTATATCGACATTAAATATAGTCAGAATAGAACCGCTATCTAGTGGCTTTCTACTGACTATTTTATTAAATTTGCCGTAATAGCATGAATCACAGTTACTAAGTTCTTTAGAACTAGTGACTCTTTTTAGCCCGGATGTAACATTAATTGTTTTTATTAAGTAGTCCTTATTAATGTATAACAGTCTTTTGTGATATAAGTCTATTACATTATGACTGTCGTTAATAATAGGATCTACTTTATAGACGACAGGTTCTAATAAGTTGTAGTTGATTTGAACGCTATTTATATAATATACGTTATAAATCTAACTAGCCTTAAAACGCAAGTTACAGGCTTTATTAGACGTAATCGCCTTGTCGTCTTTAAAAAGAACTAACTATCCCTTTTTAGTTAATTCTTTCGGGCTAATAAGGGTAGTCTTAATAGAAGGTATATAACTAACGTTTGTTATTAATACCTCTTTGTTACCTATTAAGACAGGTATATTACTTATTCCTTTAATAGATACTTTGTTACTGTTTGTAATTAAAATAGACTTATTAGAGACGTCCTTATAATCAAGAAGCCAGTCTTTATTAGGAGTATAATACTCGGTAGCACTAGAGTCTAATACAAGCTTGTTACGGTAAGAGTAAGTAAAATAAGCTGTATTAAGATTAATTTCTGTATCTACGTCTATTTTACATTAATTAATACTAAAAGCACTTATAAAAAGGGGAAAAAAAAAAGTTCTGGTCGTCCACGCCTCTTACTACCCTAAAAACTCGAAAACAAACGATAGAATCGAAATCAGCGCCTTCGGATACCCCCTAGAGTGCTAGTAGACTATAGGCGAGCCTATAGTAACGGATAGTAGGTGTACTAGACTCGAACAGAGCTAACACTACCTACTCGCAGGTAGGAGCTAGTACTCTTATACCCTAACTAAGAGCTGTAGCGAGGAGCTAGAGAGTAGTAGAGGTAACGGCGACGATAAGACAGAGAAAATTATATAAAGGATTAAGGCCTACGTAATACTAGGCAAGAAGGAGGAGGCGTCGCGTCTCTTACGCGACCTTATCGCTATAACAACGATAGTAGTAGAGATAAGAGCTATAAACACGACGACTCTCTCGCGTACCCTTAAGTCCCCTTCTAATAATAACCTAGTAACGATTAGGTAATTAAGAACAATGTTAGAAGAGGCCTTTTAGAGGCTAGTAGTAACAGTAGCCCCTTAGGCTACCTACGCGTTAGTAGTAAGCTAGCGCCTAATAAGAGTATAGGTTATACTAGAGAGGTAGATTAAGGAGCTAAGGATTAGGGTAGACAGACAGATAAAGGACCTAACACGTTATAGCGCTATTAAAGTAGTAATAGTAGCTAATATAGTAATTAGAGGCGCTAAGATAGTAGCGACCTGCCGGCTACTTAGTAGCGACACTATCTTTACGTTTAAAGAGGCTATACTAAAGAACGCGATCTAAGATTAGAGCTAGGTATAAAGGGCGTTTAGGCCTATAGCCTAGCTCTATAAGAGCGAGTTTATAGTAATCGTAAAGGGCCTACTAGTAGACCGGATTATATAAGTAGAGTTAAGAGCGTTACTAGTAGAGATCTAAGCCTACGCGCTATATATTATAAAGGTTAAAGTTAAGCCTATTAAGGCCCTTATAGTAAAGTTTATAATAGTAGTACTATACCTCTAGAGCGCTAATACGGCGACGCGCCTATATAAACAAGGGTTAATTTAGTAAGCCTAGATCTTTAACTATAAGCTGTATTTAGCTAACCTATAAATCTAAAGATACTTCTAGTACTACTAGTTTAGCTACATTAGGCGGTTCTATAAGAACCAGGCCTAGTACAGCTACTATATAAGAGCGGCGTACCCTTAGAGTAAAGAGGAGTACCCCTAACTTAATAGTAGAAAGAGATGCGTTAACTATAGTAGACTACACGCGGTATAAGACTATTAGTGTCTTAAGGCCCTTAAGGTAAAGGAGTAGGTATATACTATATATTAATAGAGGCTTAGATAGTTTAAGGTATCTAAGAGTAGCTTTACTAGCTAGGTACCTAGCGTTACACTAGTGTCCTTATAAGATAGCGACGATAGCTACTAGATTATAGTACTTAAGAGACTATAGATAAGTAATAGTAAGAAGCCTATAGTAAAGACTCTAGTAAGGTAAGGGCGCCTCTTTATTAGGGTACTAGACATAGTAATAGTCTAGAGCTACGACATTATAGAGATGTTAAGCTAAGGAGCTAACTAGGGGTCTAGCGACCCCTTTATAACGTAAGACTTGTAGATCCTAGACTCTTAGTAATAAAATTAATAATAGTATACTAGAATACTATAAGAAGGAACGGCCTTACCTTAATAGCGCTTTATAATAGCCGCGAAGTCGACGTTATAGTAATTTAAGAGCTATAGTATAACACTTAGACAAGGACAGTCTACTACCTAGTATAGGCAAAGTACTAGTAGGTCTATAAAGGCAAAGGTAGAGTAGTTATCTACGTTTACAAGTAGTACCTACTTCTTACTTAAGTAGTAGAGACAGGCGTCGACTAGTGTTACGTTACTCTATAAGGTGTTACTATCTAGTTAATATACTCGCTAATTCCTAACTCCTTTAGCTAGGCTAGCCTTCTCTAGCGGCTTACTAGAAAGGACCTAAAGGGGCTATAGATCGTTATAAGTAACATAAACCTTTATTACTTACTCTAGGACAGAGCTAGTAAGACTACCTCTAAATTAGAGACCCTCTTCTGTCTAGCCTATAAGTAGTAGCTCTTACTACGTACACCTTAGAGAGAGCTAATATAGTAGTAATATAACGAACAGGACTTAATGATTAACTATACGTAGACTATAGTAACGCTCTAGTATACTTATTAAGGCGACCTAGGGTATAAGGGATCTAACTACTATACTTAGCTAATTAAGGTTATTACTTAAGTAAGGGATCGCTAAGAGAGAGCCGTAAAGGCACTAGGATAGAGCTAGACCCTAATAGACTAAGAACTAGTAACGATTAAGGCTAGGAGGCTATACCTCTCCTTAAAGCTACTAGACATACCTTATAAGGTCGACAAGGTAGTTAACTTGCTTACCTCTTAGCTTATACGTATTATAAACATATCTACCCTAAGAAAGAAGGTTAACTAAGGGCGTACTAAGCCTTAGTAGAATAGTAAGGTCTTTAAGGCTATCTAGTAAGTACAGGTAGCGCGCTATTAGTACACTACTACCTTAACTAAGCTCTACTAGCGTGACCTTTAGTAGGCTAGTACTTACTAACTCTACATAATCTAAGACGTAAAGACTAAGAGCTAGTACAACGCCCTTACTACTACCTTAAAGGACTAATAGAAACTCTAGAGTCTTAAGAGGTAGGCTAGGCTCTATAGTTATATACTCTTAGAACCGGCCTTACTCTCGCCTCTTTAAGGCACTAACAAGAAGGTACTAGCTATAAGCTACTATAATAAAGTAATAGTGTTAGGCCGACAGTTCTTTTTAGAATTAATAGCT